GCTTTAGATCTACTCATGCACTTGTTATTTAGTAATTAAATCCTGCTGTAGCACAGGCAGCTGCACAGCTTGAGGAAAAAATGAAAATGAGCAAGAACTTGAAAAAATGTATAGTAAAGATAATTAAAATTGATTGGAAAAAAGTGTTTCCCTACATTTCCCTTTTTGGTGCTTATAATTTGTTTGGAGGCTCTCCAACCTAATCTGTGTTTTTGATCTTGTCTGCTATGAGTGTCTTTGTTTTGAAAGGGAACATATATAGTTTCTTTGGCAAACGCAACTTTGTCTGTTCAGAAACCTTTCATCTTTATTTATATAAACTCTGTTTCATGTAACACTGATTCAGTCAATAGTATACATACCTTTGAGCTTGAATTATTTACCTGAACCTTTTCCACAATTTTTTAAAGGGTGGAAGGTTAAACAGTTTGTTTTAGTAATTATAAGAAATGAATGAAATGCACTAGTTTAATTTCATAGTAGACATTCTCTTTACACACACAAGACCTGACTAGTGCCACCCTATGATGTTTGGTGAAGCAGCCATACACAAGTTGAACATGGACAGGTTTTTTTGTAGATAACCTTAATTATTTGCATAGTTCTGTAAGATATTTGACCAATCCTTTCTAGAAGCCTTTAAAGGTCTTTTTTTGTTGTTGTTTTTTTTAATGTATCCTGTTTACTTAATTTAATTAGACTCAAAGGTAACCTGTCAAGATGCTAAACTTTTTAACTATAAGTCTGGAGCTATTAGGATCTGACGGCAACCCATTTTAGAAGGCCTCTGTTCTACTAGCAGCTGTCCCTGGTTTGTGGACCTTTTTTCCTGTCAGCATATGTTCAAATAACGGCCACCTGTTAAACCTTAAAAGAAGACTTAAACTTTGGTTTTCATATAACTTGAAAGAAAGATGTTTGAAACCAGTGAACCACTAAGGTCATAGCTACAGCTTTTTAATCAAAGTACTTAGGTCTTCAAAAATATGTTGCCAACATCGACACAAAAGAATTCTGCCCCAATGGGAACAGTAAGTTGAAGTCACATGAGACCTAGCAGCTCTTTGATAGAGCTCAGAAATGGCTTCTTTGTGGTTCTGAAACCACATCGAGGTAACTGCTTCCCTTTTGGACAGGCAAGTTAAATGTTTGCAAATGCTAAACTAATAGTCACTACCCGATCCGTCCCGGCAGCACAATCCGTACCATCAGCTCATTTGCACATGCTCGACCAGCTATACATCCGGGTCACCCTCAATTTTACTTTGTTAAAAAAGACCTAAATTATGTTTTCCCTCTCTAAAAATAGCATACTAAATTATTATATGTCATGTATTTTCTGAGAAAATAAATGCATTAAAATCCCTTCTGTTTTATCAGTCGTCTGTGCCTGATCCGGACAGGAAATGGGATCCTATGCTACTTCCTGGAGATAACTTTTTCGGCTTTGGATGTAAACATAAATCTAGTCTTATCGAGTTTTTTTCCCTTTAATGTTAACATTAGGGTATATAAGGCGTAATCTAAATTAAGAAACAACTAAAATGCAGATAAACATGGTTTAATCATAGTTTGCCTGACTGCTCTGAGGATTTCCGATGATGTCAGACAAGCAGTTTAATGGAGAAAATGTAAGAAGCATCAAAATTGTTTCAGAAAAGTCATAAATAATTTTATTAAGTTTATGTTCTTTAGCATTCTTTAGTAAGCAGGGTTTTCGTGGGTCATTAAAAATCATTAAAAGTCAAAAAATTTTAATTTTTTAAATTAAGGCCTTAATTGGCATCAAAATTCATTAAATGTTATTATTGTGGTATTTAAAATGTTTTAAAAAATACAATTATAAAAACAAATTTTTTCAGGTATATTATATCGTTATATATTTGCGTGGAACTGCTTCCAGTTGATTGTAAAGCCGTATGTTCGGAAAAGAAGCTCGAGGCAGAGGAAAAGCTAGAGAATGGGAAAATGCAAATCCAGCAAAAGTGGCTGGAAATCAAGGAATTCAAGACATGGCTGCATTCTGTCGAAAGTAAAGGTGACAAAGGATTTCTTTGTGTTTTATATATATATATATATTAAAATAAGTACTTTTACTACCATAATTATTATTAATGGCTACCTGAATGAATATCTGCTAGCACATGCGCAAATGACCAAATGGTACGGCTCGTGCTTCCTGGGTAGTGACCGTCACTCCCGGAAGCATGATCCATCCTGCGGATGTGCAAACAGAATAACTTCCGGGTAGGCTTTGTTTTTCTTATTTTTTTATTCTTTTGTCTTTTTCCAGTGGGGGGTTCCTTTTGAATATTTTTGTATTTGCGTAAATATTGCATATTCTAAAATAAAAAAAAGCAGTACACTTAAATAACCTGTCAAGCGTTACTGAGACTGCTCTAAGCATGTCCGATGATGTCGTGCAATACAATGGAGAAAACTTAAAACGTATCCATTTCCTCCAGAAAAGTCCTGAATATTTTCTATACAACATCTATTCTAAAGAGAAAATGTTTTGCTGACCTCAAACTACAATAGATTTTTTTATTGTCTTAGATAAAAGGGGGGAGAAAATCCTAAACTTAAGTAACTTTTAGTTCTGAACCATTTAGCTTCTAAGGTTTTTAAATTGATTTTTCAGAAATGAGGTGTGGCGGAGCCTTGCTGAGTCATCACATATGCTTTGTTTATGAATGTTAATTAACACCCATTTACTTGAAGTTGAACAGACTGCTGTGTCAGACTGTAATCCATGTGAACTGAATCAAGATTATGGCCAAAACATTTAACATTTAATCCTGAACAAAAAGCTTTGTTTTCTCCCTTTCTGTATAATAGATGCTTTCAGACTCTATACCAATAAAAACTCTTCATGGATTTTCTAGTGACTGTAAATTTTATTTAATACATTCACTGGGAGAGAATGACTTGCTGAAAGTAACAGTTGTTAATCCAGCTGTAAAAGACTCCTCCTCTCTGAATCCAAGCAAGACCTCGACTAGGGTTGGGAATTGATAAGATTTTCACGATTCCGATTCCCTTATTGATTCTGTGAAACAATTTGATTCTCTTATCGATTCTATTATCGATTCTGTGAATCAATGAACTTGGTAAGTGCAAGATGACATTAGTCTACTTTCGCTTGGGACATTCTATAGCTCCCTGCCTCGGTGAAAACAGAAGGCAGTGAATGGGAGCTGCCAGCCTCTGAGCCCGCCAGACTACCTGCTCGTCAGTCATCTAAATCTAATGGAGAAGGCATCCATTTAATGAAAAAGCATTACTGTACAATTTCGGGAAATAAACTCTTCTCCCCCTGATTTAAATAAATGAGCGTCACCTTTCTCTTGCTCCCTGAACTGCGGAGCAACTTTGTAGCATGTTTAATAATCCCAAAGAGAGTTAGGAAATGGGTTTATTTCCTGAAATGGCATATGATTTACTAGGAACCACATTAAGCACAGCCAGTGATATAAAACTAGCTACTTACCACCAGAGTTGCCTTCCTGGTAGTAACTTTAGCTTCTGTAGGAAGCATCAAAAACACTGCATTCGTTAAAATGTATGCCATGTAATGTGCGCAGGTCTCTCTGCATCCAAACTTTCGATCGGTTTACCTGATGGGACGCCATTTTTGCTTTTATAGACTTGCGCCTGGTCATGTTGTACTTACTGAAGGCCGTGTGCGTAACTTGCGTAAAAAACGTGACCTAACTTGCATAGAAAACATGACGTAAGTCGTGCTGCCCAGCGCTAGGCTCCGGTGCTGCCTGGAACCGTAAAAAGAACCGTTAAGCGAGCTGCCAAACGGTGCCATGGAATTGGAACACACAGAACCGGTTCTGAACAGGAACCGGTTTTCGATTCCGATCCCTAACCTCGACTGCAGATGAAGTTACCACTCAACTTCCAGTGCCCTTGTTTTGGACTCAGCAGGGGAAGTACTCCATATGTTTTAGCTCTTAAACTTGTTTGTACAGGACAAAGATTGGGCTGTTTTGATTTGACAAGCATATTTGAGGCTTTCAAACCTGCACCGTCAATATTGTTGGTGGATTATTTTGAGGGGCTGCTAGTGATACTGCTGCTCAAGTGAGTGAAATAATGAAAAACTGAATTCTCTAAATATTTTAACTTACCTCAAATCAGAAGCTAGATATTTGAACTTTGGGTTCCAACAGCACAGCATTGACTCAAACACACATCAAAGTACTTTTGCAGTTTAGCCTCTGGTATTTTATCAATCTCAACTATGAAGAAAAATGTGTTACTTTGCCTAGCAGAGCAATCTCTCATGGAATGGCTAGTTAAACAGCTGTATGATTCTAAAAGCGTACCTAAAGTTTTACACCCAATTTAATGTTTGATTTTTTTTTTCATTTTTACTTGATATTGAAGTTTTTTTCTGTAATGTTCCCAAGATAAAGAAAGGAAAGCACCAAATGATATGTTAAACATCATGCCTTTTATTCCTGCCCTCCATTGCTGCAGTGACCACAAGGGGGCAGTATGATGTAAGAAAGCAGCTCTTCAGAATGCTGCCTTAGTTTGAAATCTCTTGCAAATCAGCCTCTCGGTGGTGTCAAGCAGACAAGGTCAAGCACACAGAGCATTTAAAAATGAATTAATCTCTCACCCACTGTCTCTTTCTCTGGCTCTTCTCTCATAGAGAAGAGAATCGGGATCTGGCTGACTTTGAGAGCTCATACAGATTCCTCTTGTTTCTGTTATTTCATGGAAACACGACTAGAAGGCTGCTGATATGTCAGCCAGAATATCTAGGAAAGAGATTTACAGAGCATTAGAATCTAAACTTTATATGACTATTAAAAAAAAATAAAAACCTCTGTATTTAGACCCAGATTGCTCTGAAAACAGATTTTATTAAAATAAACAATAAACCTTAAGGGTGTATATTAATCTGCATCAGTTATGAGTGCACCTGCCTCTCTTTACAGTAAGTAATACAACCTCACTTTTGTTTGCTGTGTCCTTTCCAGCAACTGATACCCTTTGTGGACGATGAGGGCTCCAAACACGAGGACCGTTCGGGCGGGCAGAGCCAACTCACCAGCGAGGAGAGGAGAGAAATCCTGGAAGTCAACAAGGTATCGTGTTCTTTATCTTGGTAGCGCAGCCCTGTTTGTGTTGCAGGTTGGATTTCCACCCAGTGCTGACATGAGATAATGCGTTCATGGTAATTACAGACAGAAAATTAAGTATAGTTTGCACATTAACTTCTAAGATTACAAAAGTAAATTAAGCATGAAATATCTTCCAGGCAGGTAGTTTGAGACAGTTGTGTTGATTTGATGTCTTGAAGGCTGACTAGCTGTTGTTTGGATAACATGCAGTAGAATTAAGAAGCTGCGCTTGGTTAATTTTATTATCTGCTGATAGAGTTTGGGTATTTAAATGAGCTTTTGAGGCTGCAGGGAAATGCTATTAAATGCTAATATGAAATGTATTTCTTTTGAGGATATTAGCTTTTCTTAGCTATCTGTGGATTTCATTGCTGTGCAGGTGGTAGCACCTGGGTATGTCGTTTGCATTTATAATCCAGAAAAAAGAAATGGCTGAAGTTTTTTTCCCCTGCAGTAGGAAATGGAGCTCTGCTTCTCTGTGGCAGTTAAAACTCATTATATTCCCAGTTGGTGTTTCTAATTGTCCTTTCCACACAAACTGCCTTTGTCCCACATTCTTATACACCGCATAGGAAGGTACTGGGTAGGAAAGTATTTTGAAGAACTGATTAGCTCTTACCCCCATTTCCCAAAATAACCAGGACCCCCTTCCCTACTCAACAGTGTAAAAACACAGGATGTCCATGATGATGCTTCAATTGATGTTTAAGCCAAATGAGAACGGACCAATAAAATCACATTTGAATCATCTTTTTTTTTATTTGATTTAGACAATACTTTTGGTAAAGTAAAATGTCGAAATAATGAATTTAATTAAAAGATATGTTTGAAATGGAGGATTTTAAAAGAACTCACTCTGCCTCCTTAAAATTGTTCTTTTAAACAGGAATTGAAGCGGAAAATAACTCATTTGGACTTACTGTTTATCTTTTTCGTTTTATTGTGTTTGCACATTTTGTTTTTCTTGTAATATTTTCTGTTTGCATTTATATTTTAGTGTAGAAAATAGGGCTGATCAGTATTTCAATAACATTTCAATTAATTCTGTACTGATAACTTTTCAACACATTTCCAATATTTTAGTATACGTTAGTCTGTGAATACAGTATTTTCATTGTCTGAGGTTCCATGTTTAATATAGTTTTAATGTAGTTTTTTTGTTTCTAAACTTTTATTTGAAGAGGAGTTTTATAAACTTGCCAAAATAATTTTCATAAGTTTGTACAGACATCTGATGGGCAGTTTTGGGAGTCCTTCTAAGGGTTGATATAGAAATGTTTTCGCATCGACTAAAATTAAGAAATGTGTCATGATAGAAGTTTGGGCCGTGTCGCCCATCCTATATATAGAGACATACTACTTCTGGGAAATGATTAAAAGTTTTAATTTCAATTATTTACAAAATATTTGTGATTTATCCACTTTACACATAATTCACAGTAATTGATTTAGAAGTGTGTATTAAATGTTAGAGCATTGCTTTCTCAAAAGTTCAATGAAATGAGCAGATTCTTTATAATTAAAGGACTTTGCTTGAAAACGTTACTGCCTGGTTTTACCAATTTTTTTTAAGTATTTTTTTTTTTATGACAAAACCCTTGTTTTTTCATTACAATCATTTGTTGTAATAAGCCAAGTGAGGCTTAAGGCCTGAAATTCTCCTTCAGGAATTTCGGGTTGAAACCAGAAGCCATGCTGCTCATCCAGGTTTTGAAGCACCAAACAATCCTCACCGCCGTTGTCTGTCACTGAAAAGCTCCTCATAATTCTTCATCTGGCAGGACCCGCATCTTTAAGAAATATATAGTTTTTGTCTCATGGTCTTATGTGCTTTTTGGTTTGGCAATTTATTTTTTTACTTTACCTCTAACATAGAGGCTAATTTAGCTGAGCCTCTTTTTCTTTGCTGCTGGATCCTCAAATGAAATAAATAAGGAAATGGGACTTATCTTGGTCTGGTTTGTTAGTGACCTTCTGGATTAGTTGTTGATGTGCTCTCGGATTAATTTTCACTGACGTGCAATCCCATGAAAGGTTCTCTAGTTTATCATGTTATTGTCATTTGTGGGTAATGATCCTCTCTGTTTATATAGACCGACAAAGACTTATAGAGAGCTTTGGGATTCTCCTTGGACTGATAATTACTAATTTCTCTGTTTCTCATTTGTCCTTGAATGTTCCTTGATGTCTGTAGATTGAGCTTGATTTGTCATACTTCATTTTGTCTGACAGGTTCTTTTTCTAGTATCCTTTATTCTACAGTCCTGAAGTAATCTGACATGATTGTGACTTGGGAAATTACATTTAGCTTTCTAAAATAAAAATGGAAGTAATCCAATGTTAATTCATTCAATAATATGACATTTACTTTTTTTTCAAAAATCCAAGTTGATTTGGGAAAAGTTTTGCCAAGACATCAGCTGAAACCAGCATTCTTTGTTTACCAAGGTTATCTTTGTATGAAATATTTGTTTAGTCTGAAGCTTCCAACAAAATAGCGTAACCGTAAGAAGCCTTTAAGTGGACAAGCACTTTGTCACAGCAACACATACCTTGAAATTATTTCAGCCTTATTTCCATATGAATGGCTTCTGAAATGTATTAGTGTTGTTATGGCATAATGAATGAATCCTGATGTCTTTACAGAGTTGAGGAAGAAAATCATAGCTGGCTGTGTTTTAAATATTAATGAGGCAGCAATAAGTTGTTTTTTTTCTCCCCTCCGGTTTCCTTTGAATATGGTGTTCGGTTTTCATGTTTCAGACATCAAACAGACGTAAAAGCCTTTTCGGCTTTATTTACTGTCAGAAACGTCTTTTCAAGACTGATAGAGAAGCTGTGTTGTAAGACTGAAGCATCATGCAGCGAGTTTTTCTTCAAACTGACATCCAGCGTCAGTCAGTGCAGAAATATCATGGGAGTTGATGCTACAGACAAACCTACAGACAAACAAGGTGAATCTTAGTACAGAGGAAGATGTTATAAGGACTGACATGGGTTTCTACACGATAATCAAAGACCCAAAAGGAGAGAGTCCTTGTAGATTATAAAAATATTCAGTTCTTTAAGATTTAACTGAATTCATGTTCTTGTTGAATAGTGCGGTAACCTCTGAGCTTCCCTAAAATATTAGTCTGGTTTTGCAGGCGGTTTAATTAATGACTGTCTGATCTAAGATGTCTTTTGGGAATAGCTTACACTTCATAACTTTGACTGTATTGAACTTGCATAATTAACTCTTGATGAATTCACATCAATTCAGTATTTAAAGACAATGCATATTCTCCCTTACAATAATCACTTCTGTGATTCTCCTTAACAACTCTTGTTTTCTAAAGGTCTTTTAAGTGTTTTTCTTTAGGTTTTTTTAATACTTGTTGGCTTTATTCAAAAGGAACAATTATTGTATAACTCCTTAAAATACACCTGTGAGATAAAAAGACTTTAAAGCCAAAGGAACCAGTGTTTTCCTGACATCACACTTGGAAAAGAATACAAAAAATATTTGGATATTTTTGACTTTAAGTTGTTTGCAGCATGTGACAGTTAATTGTTCAAGTTTATTCATCTAAATTCATAAATACTGAATATAACACAGTGTTATTTATAGGAAACATTTTATATATATTAAATTACATATTATTGCACAGACAAGGTGAATCTCAAACAGTTTTGGCTAGACCTTTAGCTCTGAATGAACTTTTTCATCCAAGGATTCTTATATATTAAAGTGTTTCTGATTTTTCTTTGAAGAAATAAAGTGTGTTTTAATGCTATTTAATACTTTTTGTTTGTGTATATATTTTTTTCTTTTTTATATTTTGGGGGTTTGTTTTTATTAATTATTGCATCTGAGATGGAGGTCTGAACAACATCTCACTGCAGTTAATGACAAACACTGGATTCTTGATTCTAAGGAAGATTCGTATTTTGGATCCTGTTTCAGGTCTTGGTGTTTCTTAGGCTACATTCATACTGCATCCTGAAGTGACCCAAATCCAATTATTATTTTTTTTTTTTGCCCATATGCGACCTGCATCCGATCTTTTCATTACAGTCTGAACAACATAGATCCGTTTTTTTTTTTTTTTATGCGACCCAGGCCACTTGGCTATGTGGTCCTGAATCCAATACGAATCTGATCCTTACAAATGCGACCTGTGTCTGAACGGCCAGGTCGCTTTCATGCGACCTGAATGATATTAATGCCCGACAGTGGTCACTGTTCTTCTTCTTGCTAGAAGTGGCAAGAAAAACAATAACAATGGTGGCCGATGATGTGGAAATTAGTGTTTATGTTTAACCATTCAGGAAAGATTGATTTTACAACGTTGGGAAAGATCGCTAGATGTTCTCCAGCACTACCATCCATGTTTATTTCCCTAAACACAGAGCGCGCTTGCTTGTGACGTCATTGCATCCTCTATTGCGTATGAGGGACACTTAGGTTGTTTGACAGCAGTTCACACAGGAGATATACAAGTCGCATGTATTTGGAAATGTAAAAAATGCAGAAAAAAAAAATCAGATTTCACAAAAAAAAAGCATCAAGGCCCGCAGTGTGAACGTAACCTTAGTGTCACTCTGTTGGTACAGGTAATAGTTAAAGTGATATAACTCACACCACCTGTTTGATTGGTGTGCTGTTTAGACCAGGTCACACAGTTGCAATGCATTTGATTAGGACCAGTATTGTTTAATATTAAGCTGATTGAGGAGAAAAAGAAGTGTGAACAAGTTCCCACTAATGTAGGTTTTGTCCTTAATTTGGTAGGAACAAAACCCCAACGTCTCAAATAATCTGCAAATTGAAGCTCTTGATTTGTTTTCCCTTCCTTTTTTGCCCTATTTAAATGCACCTCTCTTCCATCAAATCATCATCTGTTCTTTCCTATGCTAGAACTAGTGTGCATTTACTCAGAAAAAGAACTTCTGTAGGATCTGGATAAACTGAGCTTAAACCA